GGGGGGGTTTGAAGACTCAAAGGGTTTTTTAGCTTTGAATGATAATCTGCTTCTTGACAGGTCATCGAGTGTACAGCACGCTTTAAAACCACCATTTTTGGCATTTTTCTTCGTCTGCAGGTCTGCTTGCATCCATCTGTTTGTAGATCTTGGGCTGTAAAAAGCCTTCTGTTTCTCCAGCGGGAGCTGCTCAGATTTTGATCATTTGCCTAAAGTGATGCCTCTTAAGTCAGTATTAGTTGGAGCTGATGGCTGTAAGTTTGAAAATGTGGGAGATAAAAATTGTGTGTGGATTTAGAAAGAAGTGAATTTATCAGTTCAGACTGCTCCTCATCTCTGCAGCTCTCTCTTTGAGGCTCAAAGCTTTAGGTTGTGTTGTTAGCCGCTGCTAGCATAACACATCTGCAGCTTCAACACAGCTGACACAGTTGACTTGTGAACTATGAAGTCTCTGTGATTTTACAAGGAATAAAATAAACATGAAATAAACAAAAAATATAGTTTGTTTTGGCTGCATTAACCGTTGTCAGTACAACGCTGCTACACAAAGGGAATGTTACATTTATGATTTCACACTGTGGATACCAAGTAAAGGCAACCCCAGGCCAAGGTAGCTATGTCTGTTTTTTCCTCTGTCATTTGAATGATTATACTGAGGTAACATTTTTCTAGTGTGTAAAAAAAAAAACCCCAAAAAAAAAACACCTGTAGCAGCAATAACTTGAATTCATCTTTTTCTCTGTGACTTGATGCTCTCTCACATCATTCATCACCCTCCACCACCGTGGGTGTTTGTGCTCGTATGCTGAGCTTTTCTCCAGATGTGGTCTTTGCATCATTGTGTGTTCATGTCATTGTTCCAGGCGTCTTGTGCTGTGTTCATTTTAGAGAGAAGCTTTTTGTAGCTACACCTAAACTGAACATCCACCCTTTCAAATTGGGACCTCACCAACACATCGTCAAAACCCATTTGAAAATTAATTTTTACTATTTGGCATTTAAACCTGTGTTTTGTAGTTGATGTTTTTTTTTTAACTTGGTATTATGATGTTTTATCCTCAAACAAAAACAACTGAATTTACCCACAAGGAGCAAATACAATTCTTATTCATATTAATCTTTTGTCTGTACAGCACTTTGATCAACGCTTATTGTTTTTAAATGAGCCTATGAATAAATACATTTACTTCACACGACTCCTGGCAGCTGGCACCATGCTTGTTCGTTTTTCTGTCATTAGATTTTTAACTTGGTGACTGAGGCCTGTAGAGTTTTGCATCTAGCTTTCGGGAGTTTTCAGTCTCTCTGAGCACTCCATGCTCTGACCTTGGGGTGAATTTGCTGGGATGTCCATTGTGTTAACACACACCTCCAGATCATCAGATCTTTGGTATTAAAAAAAATACTATATGTTCCAAGGAAACCAGAGCAAGTAATGTACTATTCTTAGAAAAATCATTATTAATTATTCCATTTAAATATTCATTTTTTCAATTCTTTTAGGTTATGTGCTGTCCATTATGGGTCGCAGACGGAACCTCCCCAATATCAACTCCCCAGACTGGGCCATCCGCATGCAAGCTGAGAGGCAAGCTGTCAACTTTGTGGTCCAGGGTAGGAAGACTGATAGCACTCTTTGTGTGTGCTTTTCTCAGCTTCTCTTTATATTTCACATGTGAAGTAGGCTTTCAAACTACTTCTCTGACCTGGAGGGTTTGCCTCTTGTTTGTTGTGTATGTGTTTTTATTTGTATGTACAGGTTCTGCTGCGGATCTCTGTAAGATGGCCATGATCAGAATCTTTAACCTGGTCTCCTCCTCCAGCTCGCTGTCTGCCAGGTACCACCTCTAAACATGGCACTGCTCACCAAAGATGCACAGACTACCAAAATCTCCTCTCTCCTTTGACGAGACAAAATACGCAAATGCGTGTTGGCTCTCCATACCGCACTAAATCTACACAATCAGAACTTGCTCATGTTCCATATTTATGCAGGAGATCTGACAGAGCTTGTCTTACCAAAACACACAAACGACTTGCTGTGGTTTACCAGCCAGCTACATTTGTAGAGATGAGGCATGATCCTGGATTAATGCTGGTAATGATGCCAAACAATCAGCTGGAGTAAACAAAGCTGAAGCAAAAGCCAATATATAACAAAATTACAGAGCAGTGCGCGAAGTAAACGGAGGAGTCTGCTGAAACAGTCAGATGCC